TGCAGATTCTGACTTAGTAGGGCTGTGGTGGGGCCTGAGATTCTGCATTTCTACTGTTACTGCTGGTTCAGGGACCACACTTTGAGTTGAGATGGCTAAGTATAAACTGTTGTCTTAGTTACCGGTAGATGACTGGGATTCTTTGCCCTTAGAGGTTTTGATCTGATACAGAGAGATTAATGCACAGGAAGTGGCTAGAAAACCATTATGTGATCAGGAAATGTGCTTTTGACACCTATTGGGATTTAGAAAAAATGGGAAGGAAGGAATGCCTTCAAGCCTGGACTTGCTCGAGAGGTTGCAGAGAACAGCAATGACTTGAAATTCCTCCTGAGGTTCAGCAGAGGAGGAAGGACATTGCAGGTTCTGGGGCTGTGTGTGAGAGGATGGCTTGGGTATAGACAGGAGAGGGGAGTGTCATACCAGCAATAGTATGCATAATGAATGGTAATAGCCAAGCTAACATCGGTCAGCTGTCTATCTGCTGTGTGGGTGGGTGTGTGTTCAGTCGTGTCCAGCTCTTTGCAAATCCATGGACTGTAGCCCTCCAGGCTCCTTGGTCTGTGGGATTTCCCAGGCAACAGTACTGGAGTGGGTTGCCATTTCCTTCTCCAGGGGATCTTCCTGACCCAGAGATCAAACCTGTGCCTCCTGCATTGGCAGAGAGATTCTATACCACTGAGCCACCTGGCTTCCTCTCTGCTATAGGACCTGTATTATAAGCTCAGGGAAAGACAATTCTTTGCCTGCTTACTACAGCGGTGACAATGCTTGACTCTCAGGATTCAGTCAATCTTTTAGTGAGGCAGATTAGTGGCCCTTATCTGCTCCATGTCTGTAGGATCAGTTTTTGGATCCTAAGTGATTCCTTTGGAGTTTGACCATTGAATTCCTTAGTTTTTTTTTTTTTTTGAAGGTTACTTAGATTTTTATTCCCTCTTCATGTGCAGTGTTTCTGGAAAATCTGCACATCTTGAACACCCATGAAGAAGCATTTCTAATATCCATGATGCTAATTAAAGGACAGCCTCTGGTGCTGATGAGAGATGGCTGAACACAGCAGTATTTGGAATGTAAGCCTCTGACTGGTCTTTCGAGTGGTAACCAGCCAACCATGGAGAGTATATTCCCAACTGGCATCCTACAGATGTTAACTGACTGCCTCTAGCATGCAAAGAAAGAGTAACACATACATACTACACTGTCCGCACAGAGGTGTTTTGAATCACAAGCAATACAACAAGAAGACACGGTGATTTAAGTTTTTACATATTTTTAAATAATAAAAGCAATGCATGCTTCTTATATACTATTTAGGAAAAATATGTGTTCATGTTTGTTGAAATTACCCATATGCTACACCCAGAGATAACTTTCAACACATACCTTTTTCATATCTATAGCTACGATACTATTTATACACTTATAAACAGTTTATCACATTGGATGAAGGATACTTGCAATCACATTTTATGTTCAACTTTGAATCCTACTTTTGTGGCTTAACAGATCACAGTCATTGTTCTGGCACCTACATGTATTTTATAGATTTGAATTTCATTGGCTAAGACAGATGGGCGAAGACAAATGAAGTAGTTACTTAGGAGGAGTATTGGCCAAGGAATTGGGTGTTGGATTTGAGAGAGGGGCATTTAAAGATGACTCTTAGCCACCTGGGTTAATAAGTGAGGCCTTCTCCCTTCCCCCAGGCAAGAACAGTTTAGAGACTGGTTTTCTAGTTAATACATCCACATTTGCACATGATTGGGATGTAATTTGCAGCCCACCTCCGATTTCTTCCTTCCTTCCTTCTTGTGTTGATTCCAGTATTAACTTCCTGGAGGAACCTCTGATATAAATTGAGATTTTTCTTTAAAATGTGTTTTTAGTGCACAGAGGTGTCATTTAAAAGTCAAATCCATGAAGGAATATTTTTTACCTGCTGGGTTTAATTTCAGATGCCAGTGTTATCATAAAATGCAAACCACCCTAGACTCGGTTTTAAAACTTTGTACAAATTGTGCCAGTTGAAATTAACTTCTGCAGATGGAGAGAGGAGAGGACGAAAATAAGTGTTATAAAGAGTCTTAAAAAGTATTATTTAAATATTAATGCCACTTGAGTTCCGCTCCATATATATTCCATCTTTTCCTTAAAGTATAAACTTTTCTATAGCTTTCCAACTATATTTTTGTCTATTTAACTTTTCTTTTTCTTTTTTTTTTTTCTTTTTTTGTGGAATGGGAGCAAACAATGGTGGTATGTTTGACCCTTGGAAAGAAAATAATCATAAGATTCAAGATGAAGGATTTAGGTTTGATCAGAAGGAAAATGCCCCCTGGCAGAGTTGTTAGGATGAATTATTTAAGCAGAGCAAAGCTTGAGGTGTCTCTGCCCCAGATGTGTGTAACCTTTGGCAAGTTATTTCATGTTTCTGGATTTTAGTATTCTCATCCATAAAATGGGGAGGAAAAATAATATTAATACCTACCTCAGGTTATTTTGAGAGTTAAACAGGTAAAAAACATAGGAAAGTGTTTGACAGATAATAAGTGCTATTTACTGTTGGTTTTCTTTATCGTTAAGTGAACTGTAAAAAAAGAAAAGAAAAAAGTGATTTTAATGTAATGGTACCACTTAAAGGGGACTTCCCTGGTGGCTCAGTGGTAAAGAATCCGCCTGCCAATGCAGGAGACGCGGGTTCAATCCCTGGGTCAGGAAGATCCCCTGGAGAAGGAAATGGCAAGCCAGTCCAGTATTCTTGCCTGGGAAATCCCATGGACAGAGATGCCTCGCAAAAGAGTCGGCCATGACTGAGCAACTAAACAAGGACAACCACCTGAAGGAGAATTGAGTAGCAGGTCTTTCAGAGTTAAAACACCCCCCTGGACTGTCAGGCAAGACCTACTGGTTGAGATCTAATTTTTTAAGCCAAGCTCTATGGGGGCGGGGGAGAGTGGCCATGATCCCCTGGAGGAGGGCATGGCAACCCACTCCAGTATTCTTGCCTGGAGAATCAGTCCCATGGACAGGAGCCTGGTGACTGCAGTCTGTAGGGTCAGAAAGAGTCGCACATGACTGAAGTGACTTAGCACACAATGCACAGAGAAGAGTGGCTTGCCAGGGTCACGGCTCTTCAAGTGTGGCGCCCGGATTTGCACACGGATCCTTCTAACTGCACAGCCTCCACCAACACTCCCTCTCCCTGAGAGATCCTCAGCTTATCTGCCATCCTCCTTGTCAGTGACTAGCGGAGTCTGTATGTAGGGTTTGTTTCCTGTGCTTCAGAATGTAACACTTCCCTAAGAGGGACTTCTCCAGTCAACATTCTCCTTGTTTAAAGAGATTTTGCTTTTTCAGGTTTAACTTTCTCATCCACACCCTCTAACCCTGTGGACTTTGATATGTTTCTAGAAAGAGCCATTCAGGAAATCCCATCAGAGTGGTCGCAGAAGACAGCTGGGCCTTAACAGCTGAGATTGACTCCATCAGGCGTTCATTGCCAACAACTTGCCTAACAGAGACTCCTGTGCTTGAGAGGGTCCCCTTTGGTTAGGATCCAGTTCTGTTTATTTGTTCAACAGACAGTCAGCAAGCCCTGCAGGTGATAGGCAGTAGGCTAAGTCTTAGTGAATGTGAGGTGAGTCGGAGGGGCACCTGCCTCCTGAAAGCACCAAGGGTGGTAGGGAAGGAGACACTTCAACCAGACCTTTGTCCCATAAGGTTTAAGGGACACATCCAAGGGAACATTCAAATCAGCTCTTCCATGGCCATCCCTTCCTTAGGAATCTGCAGGCTTTTGTACCTGTCCACCCTGTGTCCATGTGGACTTTTCACTTCCAGCCAGTGTGTGACATCCGTGTTAGGACCTGGGAGGAGATGAGACTGTATGATCTGCTGGTTTTTACATTTTTTAAAAATAAGTCATGTGCCTTCCTGGTCAAGTACTTGGGTGAAAGATCCTGGGCCCTCTAGTTCGTCTGAATTGGCCTTCTGCCTCTTCTTTGGTCCTCTCTCTACCGGCCTTCTGCGTGGTCTACGATTGTCCCTCTGCAGGCTGGTTGTAGGTTGTCTGTCTTCTCCTCTCCGATCTGTTCCTGTTTGAATTGTTTCATGCTTTTCTGGGCGTCTTCCCTGTGAAAGGGGTAAAACCATAAAGACACCCTCTGTGGAATGTCTCTAGGTTTTCCACAGTGATTGAGGTGCAGCTCCAGACCGCTTGGGGAGGATCTTGGGGCCTCTCCAGTCTCCTTTCCCTTGACTGTGTTGTTCATCAGCCTGATGGGCCTTCTGCATTTCTCTCTGCCAGAACATGGGGACTGTTCTGCCTTCCTGACCCAACATGGATGGATCAGCTTCACTGGTTCGTGAAAACCCCAGTGGTTACATTCTTGGGGTTCCCGATGTTGGTCTTTCTTGTTAGACTGTGCTCTTTAGAGCCAGCGCTTGTTCTGGTCATTTTTGAAAACGCAGCCCTTGTTTAGTGCTTGGTACTTACAAGATGTTTACTAGGTGCTCTTTTTACTAAGTCTTAGTCCAGGCTTCAAAACTCACCTATGTACTTGTCTGTGTATATATGCATGAGAGAGACAGAGAGAAACATAGTGGGGGGTGTCTGTTATAGTTTGTTTAATCCTGCATTTGTTTATTTCGTAAAGAACTCTTTTTGAGGTTTGACAGAAAACAGCAAAATTCTGTAAAGCAATTATCCTTCAATTAAAAAATAAATAAATTAGAAACAGCAAGGGAAAAAAACTCTTGCAGTTTGGGTAGACTGCAAGACTGCAGCATCATCTCTTGGGATGAAGTTGTAGATGAGCTGAACCACTCTCAGGATCTGCAGGATATTTCTTTTCTGCAATTTGCATCCATCGACAGTGCTAAGAACTCAGCCCTTCCTCTTTGCTCTTCCTTCCAGGAAGTATTATGAGGGAGGCTGAGGACGCCACACTCGGGGCAGAGACACGGCGCTGGGATTAGGGACTGCCACTTCTGAGAGGATGCTGGGGGTCTGCAGAGGGAGACGGAAATTCCTGGCTGCTTCGCTGACTCTTCTCTGCATCCCAGCCATCACCTGGCTTTACTTGTTTGCCGGGAGCTTTGAAGGTAAGAAGGAAGCTTTCCCACAGGGAGAGGGGTGGAGGGAAGAAGGAACACTGGCTGCCCTGGAGTCCTCGGAACGAGTGCCAGGTCTTCTAACCCCAACTTCGCATTCTGTAGAACAATGGAATGTTGATGCCCCATCACAGGGAAAGATTTGTCTAGGTTTGGGTCTTCCCAGGTGGTGCTAGTGGTAAAGAACCCACCTGCCAATGCAGGAGACATAAGAGACATGGCTTCATTTTCCTGGGTTAGGAAGATCCCCTGGAGGAGGGCATGGCAGCCCACTCCAGTATCCATGCCTGGAAAATCCCATGGACAGAGGAGTCTGGTGGGCTACAGTCCATAGGGTCGCAAAGAGTCAGACATGACTAAAGCTACTTAGCATGCACACACAGGGAACCAGAGGGAGTCAGTGATGGGAGGAGAAAAAGGTAAATACAAAGATGAAAATAAGGTGCCTCTAGATACAGCAGTATGGTGGAGGTTACACAAATGTCAGAAACCAGCTTTGTAGGCTGATCGCTGTGTTGATAATGGGAAAAAGGTTGGGTCCTGCAGGGATTACTTCATGCAGTTTATGGAGTCAAATGTTTCATTCATTTTTTTCATCTATTCATTCACTTATCTGTTCAGCCAACATTTTGCAACTGTTTAACATCTGTGCTAAACTAGGTGCTGGGAGTCCGGTGATAACAGATCGGAACCTTCAGAGTATCATGGAGGAGACAGTGATTGCTGTACATGGTAACTCCTTAAGATGAGGCAAGCTCACGGGGCTGGGAGATAGGGTGGTCAGAGCTATCAGGTGGTCTGGTTGTAGAAGATGAGTGGTGATGCTGATGGGCTGAGTACAGGGGTTCAGCACAGGAGACGCCCTTCCCGAGCAAACAACAAACACTCCTCCCTGACACTGTCCTGAAATCCATAGAAGAGATGCACACACCGTCCTTCTAGCCAGGAGTTTCTAATGTAGTGAGACACTGTGCGTATCAAAGATGCTTTTCTAAGCCTCAGGGAGGGAAGGAATGGCAGTATTGAAGAGCCTACTTTCTTTTTATTTACCCCCAAACTTGACTTAAAATACATATATACATCTCCAGTGAAAATCTGTCTCCAGAAAGTCACTACTGTGTTTTTAAACATTTCCTTTATGCATAATTTTATTGACAGCTCAAGGCTACCTTTTAATTAGGAGTTCCACTTCACTTTCTGAGATTTGCCCTGAATTTGCTTGGCTGAATATTAATGAGCAGGGAACTCTGTGCCTTCCGAGCAGGGAAGGGCCCAGTACCACACCCCTGTCCCTTTCCTATGTCCAGACCTCCCTGGAGGGATAGCTAGAGCTTTCACCTAAGCATCTAGATAGAGTGGATTATGCCATGGCTGTGGGTGATAGATTGTGCCATGGCCGTGGATGGTTCAGTTTTGGTGAAGAGGTCAGAGGGAGGATGGTGAGTTGGTATTGGCAGTGGGAAAAAGTAGAAGGAGGCATTCTCCAGGGATGATGGAAGAAACCCTGTGAAAGAAAGCCAAGGGCGTAAGTGCTGGCACAGGTTTAGCACATTGAAACGCTGACTTTGGCAGTGTAACTAGACTGGTAATAATAGTATAGCAGCAATAATGACAATGACAACAACATACAATGTAATATTCTGAGCATTTCTACGTGCCTGGCATTGCTGTGAGGATTTAACACATGTTAACTCCTCCTTCGCAATAATCCTGTGTGGTGGGTTCCAGTGAGGAGGTCTAGGAAGATCAGCTGCGGTGATATGCCCAGGGGCCCAAAGCCAGCCAAGATGGGGCCTGGGCTTACTGAACTTGAGAGCAGGAGGTTTTCACTGCAATTCCATGTTGCGGACGGGGCTTCAGTGAGGGTAGACTTTGGGTAGGGAAACGGGGACCTGATGAGGTATCACATGACCTTTCTGAATGTGTATGAGGGAAGCTGTACAATTTTGATTTCTGCTCGTTGGTGGAAACCCAACTCTAAATGATTTTGGCAAAGAGGGAATTCGGTGACTCATGAAACTAATAAGTTCAAAGGAAAGGATGGCTTCAGGTAAGGCTGGATCCAGGGGCTCCAGTGATATTTTTGTGGCTCTGTCTCCTTACTTTGTTTTGCTGATTTTCTCTGCTGTAGTTCTTTTCAGGATAGCTTTTCCTCTCCAGTGAAAACTTTGGCCAGCAATTGATTCTCACCAGTCCCTTGTAGAAAGAGGGGGATTCCTCCCCATAATTCTCCAGCATCACCTCTGGTTAGATTACCTCTCGTCCCTCTTGGTCTGGAGAGCAATCACTGTGGTTGGGGGAGGCAGATGACGGCAACTCTGAGCTCTGTGGCTATTTCTAGGCCGGAGTTACCTGAAGCATGTGAAGTGAGACTGGGGAGGGGTGGTCCCTAAAATTACCTGGTGCAGTTCCCCAAAGAGGGGAAACTAGAAGATGATCTGGGGTGTGGAGAACTCAGATCTGGCTGTGCCTAGTGATGGGTTGATATCAACTTGAAGGTCTCTTTCCAGCATCATGCTCTCTAGTCCAGTTCTGGCTGATGGAGTGACTGTGCCCATGGACTTTTATTAGACTGGCAGACAGATTGCATTAGATAGGGTTTGGATGATCCAGATGCAGAAAAGATCTTCATGACCCACATAATCACAATGGTGTGATCACTGACCTAGAGCCAGACATCCTGGAATGTGAAGTCAAGTGGGCCTTAGGAAGCATCACTACAAACAAAGCTAGTGGAGGTGATGGAATTCCAGTTGAGCTATTTCAAATCCTAAAAGATGATGCTGTGAAAGTGCTGCATTCAACATGCCAGCAAATTTGGAAAACTCAGCAGTGGCCACAGGACTGGAAAAGGTCAGTTTTCATTCCAGTCCCAAAGAAAGACAATGCCAAAGAATGCTCAAACTACTGCCCAATTGCACTCATCTCACACGCTAGTAAAGTGATGCTTATGATTCTCCAAGTCAGGCTTCAGCAATATAGGAACTGTGAACTTCCAGATGTTCAAGCTGGTTTTAGAAAAGGCAGAGGAACCAGAGATCACATTGCCAACATCTGCTGGATCATCGAAAAAGCAAGAGAGTTCCAGAAAAACATCTACTTCTGCTTTATCAACTATGCCAAAGCCTTTACTATGTGGATCACAACAAACTGGAAAATTCTGAAAGAAATGGAAATGTCAGACCACCTGACCTGCCTTTTGAGAAACCTGTATGCAGGTCAGGAAGCAACAGTTAGAACTGGACATGGAACAACAGACTAGTTTCAAATAGAAAAAGGAGTACATGAAGGCTGTATATTGTCACTGTGCTTATTTACCTTATGTGAAGAGTACATCACAAGAAATGCTGGGCTGGATGAAGCACAAGCTGGAATCAAGATTGCCGGGAGAAATATCAATAACCTCAGATATGCAGATGACACCACCCTTATAGCAGAAAGTGAAGAAGAACTAAAAAGCCTCTTGATGAAAGTGAAAGCTGCTGCTAAGTTGCTTCAGTTATGTCCGACTCACTGCGACCCCATAAATGGCAGCCCACCAGGCTCTGCCATCCCTGGGATTCTCCAGGCAAGAACAGTGTAATGGGTTGTCATTTCCTTCTCCAATGCATGAAAGTAAAAAGTGAAAGTGAAGTCACTTAGTCGTGTCTGACTCTTTGAGCCCCATGGACTGCAGCCTACCAGGCTCCTCCATCCATGGGATTTTTCAGGCAGAAGTACTGGAGTGGGGTGCCATTGCCTTCTCCGGAAAGTGAAAGAGGAGAGTGAAAAAGTTGGCTTAAAATTCAACCTTCAGAAAACTAAGATCATGGCATCTGGTCCCATCACTTCATGGCAAATAGGTGGGGAAACAATGGAAACAGTGGCAGACTTTATTTTGGGGGGCTCCAAAATCACTGCAGATGGTGACAGCAGCCATGAAATTAAAAGACTCTTACTCCTTGAAAGGAAAGTTATGACCACCCTAGACAGCATATTAAAAAGCAGAGACGTTACTTTGCCAACAAAGGTCAGTCTAGTCAAGGCTATGATTTTTCCAGTAGTCATGTATGGATGTGAGAGTTGGACCATAAAGAAAGTTGAGAGCTGAAGAATTGATGCTTTTGAACTGTGGTGTTGGAGAAGACTCTTGAGAGTCCCTTGGACAGCAAGGAGATCCAACCAGTCCATCCTGAAGGAAATCAGTCCTGAATATTCATTGGAAGGACTGATGTTGAAGCTGAAACTCCAATACTCTGGCCACCTGATGGGAAGAGCTGACTCATTTGAAAAGACCCTGATGCTGGGAAAGATTGAGGGCAGGAAGAGAAGGGGAAAACAGGATGAGATGGTTGGATGGCATCACCGACTCAATGGACATGAGTTTGTGTAGCCTCTGGGAGTTGGTCATGGACAGGGAGGCCTGGCGTGCTGCAGACCATGGGGTCACAAAGAGTTGGACACGACTGAGCTTTTCTAACTGATCTGGATACATTAACAGAAGCAAGACCTAGGTTTGTTCCCTGAGTCGGGAAGATCCCCTGGAGAAGGGAATGGCAACCCACTCCAGTACTCTTGCCTGGAGAATTCAATGGACAGAGGAGCCTGGCAGGTAAAAGTCCATGGGGTCGCAAAGAGTCAGACATGATTGAACTGCTGACACTTTCACTTTCTAGCTAGGAGGATGAAGGTGACACATTTCTTTTACGAGGTATCAGTTAGTCCATAGCCGGGCCACTGCATTTATTTCTGGATGCTACACTTTGAGAGCAATCTAGATAAATCAGCACATTTAGGAGAATCTACGTGAATGACAATGCTATCTCAAACCTTATTTTGTACGAAATAGTGGAAAGAATGGGGCTGTTTACTTTGGAGAAGCAGAGGCTCCAGGTGTATATGACCAGCTTCAGCAAACAGTCAAAGGGCCACCATCTGAAAGAGAGATTGGGCTTACTCTGACAGCCCCTGAATCTATGGAGGGATGTGGCAGGGAGCCAGATGTCAAGATC